ATGATCATAACATAAATAGTGAAAAGTAGGTGTTATATTTTACAGTGGTATAATGTTCGCCTCTGCCTACTCCTTCGGGGATAGAAGGCGTGATGTTATGTTATGTACATCAAATGTAAAGAGTTGGAAAACCCGAATTTCTGAAATTGACATTGAATTTAAAAAGGCCATTAGCATTTCATCACTCAATTATATTTGACCTATCGCCAAGAATCTTTTGATTAACAACGCAAGCTAATTCCATTATAAAAATAAAATAGTACCTAAATTATTCTACTTAATGTTTTCATCATGGGCTACATATATGTAGTTTATATTCTACATATCAGCACCACAACTAGACTAAACAAAAAAAAATGATTTTTTTTTAAGGGGGGAAAATCATCTAATGTTTGCTCTCGCCTGGGTGAGGCGGGAGGGAGTGTCAGACTCTTACTGACTAAAAACCACCCCGTTCCTTCTCCTGCACGTCGAGCCGGAGCCCCGGTTACCCGTTAGGTTCTCCGCGACAGACTAAACATATCATAGCATCTCTTCAATGCTACTCGAAAATATCAAAATATATAAGTACGTTTACATATCAGGGTCCATTTGTTATCTACCTGGAAAACAACGGAAGAGACACGTCACATGTAGCGCACACAAACGATTTGATGATAGTCCGCGCTCTTGTTTAGAAAGATTTGGAATATTGATAAGTGTGTGTCGCGTGCTGCACGTGCTCGTATGTTTACGATGGAAACTCACATAGGAATTACGAATTAATGTATAAATTATTATAAGAAAATTTAATGCTGTACCTATAAAAATTAAAAGCTCAAGTTTCTGACGTAATTTCATTATCATCATCATCATCACCATCATATCAGCCTAAAGACGTCCGTTGCTGAACATAGATCTCCCTTAATGACTTACAAATAGACCGGTAAGATAATGACAATAGTTCAATTTATCTTGTTTTAATAATTACTTAAAACAAGAGGACGTTAGCTTTAGAACTGCTTCTAACCTGATCAAAGATTCACAATGGTTATTCTCCCATCCACAATTTGCATTGAAGACCTTAAATTTGGAGTAAAACAATGGCACAGATACAATCGGTTCACAGAGGCATTCCATTGTCAAAGTTCGAACGCCAATTTGAAGTTAGAACACGGTCTGTAACGGCCAATAATCTGATTTGACCAGTACGAAATTTCCATTCAGTTTATCATTGTGTGGCTAATGACGTTTATTTTCGAACTTTTTCTATTTTTAATCGAATTATTTTATTTTCTTCATGTCATGAAGTATGATTTTGGTGATGATTTGTGATTGAATGGTTTATGCCTCTTTTTGGTTTGATTGCAACATGCACCCTCTTACTTAAATGATCCCTCATGTGTTACGAATGGTACCTGGTTTCGAACTTCATACTATTGTTAGAAAGTCTGAAATGAATCCCTCAATAACACTTTACTCGACAAGAAAGAAACCACAGCGTCGTGTTTAAGAGCAACTACACAACTTGCGTTTAAGAACAAAAGAAATAATAAATCCACAGTACAACAAAAGATTGGAGTTCATCATAGTTTGTTCCATAAAGTTAGTAAAAAGTTTAGTCTATAACTTATTTGTGAAGGATGTCGCCTACAGTGCGGTCGCAAGGAATTCAAGGTAAGTGTGGAGTTCCCATGAAAGTTTATTGCAAAGCCACATACTTTGGTGGTTGTGAACTTCATGACAAATAAGAAGTAAAAATAATAAATTCTTGTGTGATAAATATCTACTCGACTTGTGACTTGATTATTTAGAAATGAAGTCAAGGATAAACCAGGGGACAAATGTCCCAAGCCATGTATAAGCGACATGTCGAGTGAAGCCGGCCGATGTCGTCAGACATACATGGTGACAACGCGCAAGTTATGTCCACAGTGACGTTGATGTTGCCAGACATATTGACCAAAGTCCGGCAACGTCGCGCTACTTCACCCGACGTCGGTACGAATGTTCGACACCGAATGTCTCCTGGTGTGTCCTTGGCTTAAAGATTTTATAAATGTTATTTAGTAGTATATTAGATGTTTTTGAAACATATTAAATATTACATTTTAAGTGTGTGAGACCCATGTTTCGGCACGAATGGGCCGGCTCGACCAGAGTGATATCACGGCCTCAGAGAAAACCGACGTGAAGCAACGCTTGCGTTGTGTTTCGTCGTGTGAGTGAGACCGAAGGCCCAATTACTCTTCCCTTCCCCAATCTCCCTAATTCCTGAATCTCCAACGATCCTCAAACTCCTAATCCCCAAAAGGCTGGTAGCGCACTTGTAACGCCTCTGGTGTTCCAGGTGTCCATAGACGACGCCGATTGCTTACCATCAGGTGATCCGTCTGCTTGTTTACCGGTTTATGCTATAAAAAAACAATAATGATATAGCCATATCTTTACTTTCGGAATTTCTTCTTCTTTAGCATATCAATGGGGATGATGACAGGGTATGAAAATAAAAAATATAATTAGTCCGTAAGTTAGGTAATTAAAAAATAT